TGGTCGATTTTGGTTCAAGATGCGGAGAGGTTGCGGAGTAGGGGAGCGGGAGGAACGGCGCAGCTCGTCAACCTGGGACCCTGACTCGGAGGGCGGGGCGGGGCGGAGGGCGGGGAATAGGGGGACGAGGACGAACTAGAAGGTAGACCCTGTAGAAAACATAACATACCATACCATCATACGACACCAGACGTGTACGCCAGCTGATCAGCTAACATAGTGACCTCGTTACGACGTGGGGAATGGACCCGCTGGCGCGTGGGGTAATTGGAATTCATGGTTCGGGGGACAGGGATCGCTGCCAGGGGGAGAAGTCAGGGTCAGGGGCGGGGCCGTCATCGTCAATTTGAAAAATCAATATTTCAATGTTGATCATCACTGCACTCCTTTCGAATTCATCGAGAACTCCTCTCCCGGTGGCGAACTACGAAGATTAGAAGCGACCGCAGCCTGCAATTCGGGGCCTCCACGCCATGCAGCGGCCTCGCCGACAGCCCCTGCGAATCACGAATCACGATTGCCAGGCGTGGAAGAGGCAGAAGAAGAAGTACTGTGGAAAACGGGGTTCCGCTTCACTCGGACGCGGGCATGGATGCGAATAAAGGCTTCGTAGAGGGCAGACTAGGAGAGTTGCTGGACATGATGCAATGCACGAGCACGCGTACGAAGACGAAGGGCTATCAGTTATCGGTGGTTGATACCGCTCATTGATGGGAGTGCATGGACATGGACACGGCTGTGGACACGAATGCTGGTGCGGGTGCGAATAGAGGTCTAATAGAGTTGTTAATCAGTAGAGTGCTGGCTAGTAGAGTTGCTGTCCATGATGCTTGATGCTTGATGATGGTGGATAATCAATACAATGCAATGGACCACGCGTAGGAAGAGTTTATCGTTGCAAGCGCTCAGGCTAGAGCTCGTGACCGTCGATTGCTTGTATACTTTGCATTATAATATTAATCGACGAGTCCGAGAAGCTTGCAGTTGAACGTTGAACGTTGATTGCGTGCCTCCGAAGCAGCCGCCCCCTTGTCCCTTGTCTGTAGTTCGTAGAATGCTGAGCTTGACGTGAAGCATTTCGCCCCAGCCTGTCGTTGAGTCATACGAATCTGCCGTTCCTGCGCCTTCTTTCAAGTTCGCCCATGGCTCCGCCGGCTCCACCTCGCACCTCGCACCTCAGCCACCTCCTCTCGAGCCGGCAAACCTCCGAGTCGTGGCGCTCGGCATGCCTGGGATCTGGGAGAGTCTGATACGTCTTGGGCCTTGGTCGACTGGTCTTCATTGACCGAGACCACCCAAGAGAACACGATGCGAGGACAGTTGATTCGCCGGCAGTCAAATTGTAACCTGCAAGTTACAACAGAGCTCCACCGCACAGCACAGCTCGAAGCACGCGAGATACCGATGCGGACGTATCGCATAGGCGAGCGAACATATTGAATGATTGGAGGCAGGAAGTGGATTAAGTGTGTGTTATCGACGGAGACGGAGACAAGTCCTGAGATTTGCGCAGATGATAGTCGAGGTTCAATGTGAACGACCTGAATTTCATTGGTGATGATAGCCTTATCGTTGACTCGGATATTCCGTGTACCACACCAGATGTACAGTATGGTCCAATACGGGCTCTAGCCGAACTGCCGATCGCGGGTACGATAACCAAGCGATGGACTCATCGACGTCGCAACCCGGGATACGCGTGCGCAGGACCGCTTGACTTTGTCTCCCGTACATAGCTGGAAAATTTAACGAGAGTCAGCAGCAGCTATGCACGAAGTGATTGTTTCCGAGATTCAGACATCACTGTATCGGGCAGCCAGGTGACAGCCGCCGCCATATCCCCTTTGACGAGGCGATCGCGCGTAGCGAGGGAGCGCCGTGAAAATTAATTGGCTCGAGGCTCCCAGTTCCAAGGTCGCTAATTGTGGACAGAGTCTGGAGATCATGAACCCGGGACCGGAAGTATAGTGCAGATCAGTTATCGTGCAAGGTACCATCTAGCATGAGACTTGCCTTGTGAGGCGATATGTCGCGAAATTTGGAATGGGCATTCCGTCACCAGCGTGGGTGTCTGAGTATTGGATACTCGAGGATACTCATGTGCTCGCCGTGGATCATCTGGCCTAATGTCAAGACATTCGTCCTTAACAGACACGTCTAAGGCCCAGCCTAGTGCGCCTCAAGGTTGAGTGCGCCTCAAGGTTGAGGCAAATTGGTTATTTGCCTGACAAGCTTCTACATAGGAGAGTGCTCGTGTTCGTTGATTGACGGCATCTCCCAGACTTCCTGCACCATCATGGCGCATTCTCAGGGAATTGGGGCGGAAGGACAGGGTCTTGAGCGAGTCACGATATCGTTGTCCTGTTGACGGCGCAGATGATTGGAACCGTCGGCCCTCTAAATGACGAACAAAGGGGGGCTGTGGGGTGAGACCTTACGCTGGAAGGGTTCGAAGAACGCGTGTTGTGGAGAGATTGCATATTGCGCTATATTGGGATTGCGCGGCGCGTCTTGGTATGGTATAGGGGGCGAAGGGACCCCAGGATACAACGGCGCGGTGGTTCCTGATGATCTTGGACGTGTTCCTCGGCAGGCAGATAAAGTGTGTTCGCCAACACGATGCTATCGAGTGTTCACGCGGGCTACCGCCACCAAGGTGCGAATGATCGCCTGCCCTCCGGATCCCGACGCTATGCTGAATTGAACGGCCGAATTTCGAGGGTGCTTTCTCATGTACCTGTGTACGCGTAGCGAATCTATCAATCGTAGAATGATGGTGAAGAACAAAACAGCATGGGCCAACGATAGGCTATAGGCAATACTACAACGCGAGTGGGTCGGATACTTGTGAAACCAGGCCACGGCCGGCTTGTGGGGGATAATTGCTTAACATGATAAGATTCCAGAATCTGATGTTTCTGTCGCCGCTCACGGCAGGGGCGTTGGAGTGGCGAAACGTCTATTTCGGCGTGTGTATGAATAGCCATGGTACCAGGATTAACTGTGAGTTGGAGCAGTCAATGGTAATTCGTGCAGGTGACCACACTAATGTACTTAGGGCGCATTATTTTAGAGTCGTGCCATTTAGTAACACTTGGGGACTCGGTTGTTGCAGTATCAGAAGAAAGACAACTGCCTAGCCTTGCAGTGGGAGTCGCCCAGACTCGATTCGCGCGGTACGGCGTCCGTCATGTAGCTTCCACACTCCCATGCCGACGGTAAATAAGAAGCAGAAACTGATTCTGGCTTATCTTCTGGCACCAAAACGGCTGTTCGAACTATTCGTGAACCAGACTACGCGATTCAATGTCCACCATTTGATCTGGACACTTCGTGCGGAGTCAGCGACTGATACGATCAAGGGCTCATAGAACGTACTGGAAGCGGACAAGGGCAACTGGCGTCCACGCCTCCGAACGGGACACACCTGCGGGAACCCATATATCGAGAATGGTCGGCATCCACATGTGCAAGCACGATATCTCAGCCGAAAAGGGATAAAAGCTGGACACCTTCCTGGGTGTCTTGAAGCTCGACTATGGAATTTGGAACTTTGAAGACCGTGCCGTGTTGGGTGTACGTTTCTAGAGTATTGTTTTAGCCATCCAGAAAATGGGCGATATTTGCCTTGTTGAGACAGGTTGCGGCGTGGCAAACTTCATGTGAAGCCACCAGCGTCACCCCTGTTCTGTCCCCCTTTTGGTGAAAGCAAAACAACCGGACCACTTCGTTTCTCTCTCCCCTAATGTATTGGAGGTTCTCTCGATGCATGGGAAGACTCTGCCATAAGATACTAATACTATCATCGAAGAGGGAATTCAAACCTAATAATGTTCTATACTCAGTACTCATGTGCAAGGACAGGGGAAAAGTCAAAACCAATCGTCACTTCCTTGGAGATGGAAGAGTCTGGACGAAAACAAGCGGTTCGAGACACAGTCATCCTGATATGATGTTTGAGTACTTACCTTCGTTCCTATCATCTCTTTAGCATGGATTGATGCTTCAAAAGCTGACTGAAAGTTGTCAGAAATGTGGCAGACAAGGGCAAAGCGGCGCACATTAAATTTGACAGCGAAAATTGTAGGATCCAAGCACTTGAGTACTGACAATCCTACAATTGGATGGTCGTCAATTCTGAACTGCAAGCAGGAGTTGAGTAAAGAGCGCAGAAATAGGAAACATCGGAAATCAAACGCCTGACATCTTGGGGTACAAGAGCCGCAAATTCAACACAGTCATTTGTCTCGATACCCGTCTGTTTAAACTTGGAGCGAACAAGGTCTTCCTTGTAGGACGCCTCGACGTCGAAGATGGCGTTCCCTCCGTTATTATAGACAGTGACCCCGAAAGTGACACGATCACATGTATTGACTGGCACTCTTGTTGATAGTAATAATAGGATATGGCAACTATGTTGTCCCTCTCTAGCCTTGCAAACCCATCCCTGGATGGACTGATGGCTCGAACACCTGGAGAGCAGTTGCCCACAACCTCTCTTCAGCTGACCCTGCTGACCTGAGCATCCACGAGGATGTTTCGCAAGTGTACAAGTCTCACAGCGCAACCCCCCTTCGCTCAAAGGGAGTTTACTCAATGGTTAGCACGAAGGTTCTCACCTCGCTCCCTGGGTGAGGAACTGCTTTACGGCTATCATATGTCGTTTGTTGTGCTGGTGTGGAAGCGACCGCAGTCAATCCAGTGTCTGGTTCTGCGGACCCAGAATGAGTCAAGTCTCCCGCGTGCACGAAAGGGAATGAACGAACAAGCATATCGTTGGCGCAAAGAGGATTTGTTAGTAGAAACTTGTCGCCGGAGTATCGCGTCGAGCCCATCAGTCGAAAACATTGTGTACAACGAAGCAGGCACAGCACAGCAGGTGACGATCGACTCGCAGCAAAACTATATCAGACACCTGCATTGCTACACGACGTACACAGTTACAGAGACTCAAAGACTCGAATGTGCCGACTACCAGTGGAATACACTTTGTGTCTTAATTAGAAGACGGGGAAAAAATCGAAAGGAATCGTTACTTCCTTGGAGATAGAACCTAGGACCTGGAAGAAGGTAAGTTTCTTGAGACAATGTCACAGCGCAGAATACCTACATTTCCACCATCCCTAACTGAGGCCTCGAACGCTGTTTCGAAAGCCCGACATTGATTCATTGACCAGAAATATAACGGTAAAAATCCTTACTGATGTTGACTGGGAAAATCGTGGGGTCCAGACATTTGAACACTGAGAGGCCCTTGACGGGGTAGTTGATGGATATCTGTGGTAGGAGTGAGCATATGAAAGGCACGCGCAAATCAAAGTGACTCACAGCTCGGGGTTCAACGACGCCAAACACAAGACCATCGGATGTTTCCTCGCCTATCTGTTTGCACTTGGAGCGAACGAAGTCTTCTTTGAAGGAGGCCTCAAAGTCAAATACATTATTCCCCCCTTGGTTGAACATCGGCATCGTGTTGGCATAGTCAATATTATCTATCTAGTATGAGTGGCTGCAGTTATTAGATGGGAATAACACGTACAAGACCAGTCGTCACCCGATTGTATACCACTGTCATTTGCAGGGAACTGCCTCACAGGCATGATCGAGGATGGTACCTTCACTGTCTTCAAGTACGCCGGAAGTATAAGAGGTCTCCCCATCAAACAAGTCCCCTCGTGGGCCATGATGATATAGATTTCACCGCCGTTTTGCTTGAAGTTCGGGTCATCAGGTCTCGCTCTGGTGACATATTTGTACACATCAGTACGCCAAGTAAGCGTTTCCAAAATTCGGGAGCCGTCCTGGATTTGGTAATTATCAAAGACATTGATGGTTTGTCTGTACAAGAACGGTAAGTAAGCCTGCCTGATAGTGGGATATTGCTTGATTACTTACTTATGGAAGAACGAAGTCGTAATAGGTGGTGCGAGGTGGTTTGCATAAATCTTTGCTGCCCGGGAAGACGGGGCTTCGCGGCCTTCCTCTCGTTCGTCATAGTGGTGGTAATGGTGGTGGTGGTGCACCGTGTGTACGGCATGCGTAGTGGTGGTAAGCGCAGCGCAAACATGTTCAAGCTTGCAAGTGCAACTGGAGGCAGGCATCTTCTGGATCGAGGGAGCTATTTGGTTACTGGTATGAGTTGAGTTGTTGGATGGTAGTGGGGGTACGTCGACCGTATTTATATGTCGAGATATGGTCCTGCATAGAGCGAACGGGCCCATGACAAATGCAAGCCTTGTCACTCCGGGGTTGCAATTGTTCCGTCAGACAATGGAGGCCTTGTTCGCGTCCTCTGAGACGTTGTCACTCTTGACGTCGTTCGTGTTCTTCAACCGAACACTACTCCCAATCGGCGGAGAGAAAGCACAACGGCCGTGCATTGGCACAACGTCTCCGCAAATGACCAGAACCTAATGTTATATAAGTCCAAAGCTGCATCGGTAAAAGGCAAGCGAGAGACAAACCTTGACAGCTTGTAACGCGAAATAGCACCGGCTCAGGGTGACTGCATAGGATATCCAATCAGGTGTGTGGTGAAGAACAACTCCAATTAGGTTGGCGACAGCTGCTTGGGCTGGTATGGAGCGAAATTGTGGTATCCCTGAGTTTCTGCTTGAAGAGAATCATTTCCGCCAATGTTTATCAGCCCATGATAAACGTGTGTGAATGACGGGGAGTTTTAGACTGATTGAAGCATGTTGAACGATGGTAGTGAACGTCGCTGAATGGCTTGGATTATTTGATGAAAGCGAGGAGTGTCTTGTTCGCCTTGAGCTTAGATATACTAATGGTAGCGGGTACATAAACCCCATGACCTCTTGGCTTCTTCGGGGAAGTTCCTCGTCCCATGGGTCAAGGACACCCCTCATGAGTCCGATAACGCGGGTTGTGTACCATCGGAAGGGAGATGGGCGCTTGGCTGCCACTTACTTCCACGATCCGTGCAATCGCCGCGCTTGGACTACGCGTCAATGCAGCATCGGTTGGGAACGGAGTATTGATAGAGCGCATGTCCTCACGGCATCTTCCCTAAAAGCTGGAATACCGAGTGTCAGAAGCTTCGTTCTGATGTTGACGAAACCAACATCATGCACGGCATTTCACCTTCGTGATTGCAATACCCCTAAGGGATGAGAATCCTCTTGAAAGGCTAGGCAGACGATCCAGGGGGCGTACCAAATCCATATGTTAGCATCATTCTGCGAAGCCGGGGTCTAGGACCGGTGTCTAACGGAAGGAGGGTGGCGTAGAACAGACGATGTGGCAGAGAATCGGAAGCACAGATGGGTCGCATTAGGAGCGTCGTTACAGGCAAGCAATTGGACAAGGTATGTTGCAATATCGTTCACGATAGTTCGGTAAGTTTGGCGAATGGTTGGATTCTCATTCCCGCAGACTCTACCGGGTCGATACATACAGTCTGCGTGACGTTGACGGAGCGATCATTTTGAACGCAAGTCTCAGATAGGATGGAATGGCGCATCGGGACGAAGATATGATGGAACAGAAAAGAAGACTCGCTTTGGCGGTACGAGCGCCGTCTCATCAAGATCGCGCGCTGTCGCTCCGAAGTCTCCGCCATCTATGTGTTGGCATCTTCGTCAGCAAAAGGACACGACGAGGAAGTAGAAAGAAGTACCACGATATATTTCCCCGTTTACGTTGGATCGAATGATGATCTCTAGACGGCACTTATCTGACTCGTCCCGTTAAACAGAGATTACTTAGTAAACCAACTGCGGTGCGTGGGACGAGGCGGACGTCCTTGGTATCGGGACGGACAGGCAGGCTGGTCGACCGTGGAGAGGGTTTCTTGTGTACTACAAGTTGTCCACGGGTGTGGCGCCTGCTGGCGAGTAAGTGCCTCCCAAATACTTCCAACATTATAGAGTCAGGGGAATGCCATAGTTAGTCATGAGAGCCTCTCACTCATCACCACAAGGGGATTCTCCCCAATAGAGACCCTACCTGTCTCATAGATCAGCACAATAAACAAGGAGGCAGGTCAAATACCGTACGTACCACCCCAAGTTAAGACGTGGTTATGTCGCAGTGGGTCTTGAAGGTCCAGTGAGCACTAAACATGAATCCTTCCGATCTCCTAGGATGGCGATGCCCGCTGGTAGGTTCCTATGCCAGTAGGAGACACCCTCATCTCATCTTGCACTGCTAAGTAGCAACTTGTTCGAGAGTTAGGAAGGGGCATCACTCACGTGATATTTCAGGTATATATTGTGTGGAACCAACCATCGGACTGTGGAGACGTCTTTTATGATTCACCCGAACCATCCCCCCGCAGGTAAGCTGGATACGCCCTTCCAAAGGAGTGGCCACTCTTAGAAGCGCCATAGTGAAAGTCGGCGGGCGGCGTCTGTCAATATCCAAGCCAAAGCCGCATGTCCTGACGTGAGCCGTACACCAGTCCTCCGCTAGAAGCTTTGATGCTGACTATGCTATAGAGAGCAAACAATACATGAGTCCACAGTCGATGCACAGAAGGTAGATGAACCTGAAGTAATCGACTACCCCAGACCAACCGTGCCTGGGGAAGAGCGGCCCCACCCACCTCCGCATCATGACGAGCCCAAGAAAGAGAAGCATAGTCCCTACGACGCAAGGCTGAAGGAACTTGCGCACGCCAAAGCAGAGGCAACGATGCCTACGAGGGGTATCAAGAGCAACGGCAAGGCGTATGGCGCCAACGGGAGGATTGCCCAGCCAGCGGGGAAGAGCCTTGAAGTTTGAAATCCTTGGCCTCAACGCCAAAAGTGTATCAGTATTTGTACCATACGACCGACCAATGTAAAATAGGGATGGTTTTGTAGGGAAGTCAAAGTGTTCAAACGAGCGAGAGCCTTCAACTGCATATTCATAGCGTCATAGGTTTTGGGAAGGACATACATGCAAAATCTGGTATGTTATAATACACCTAATTAGAAGAAAGTTTTCGCCTTCTTGCCCCGAACCTTCTTTGGTGGCGAGGGCTTGGGCTCCTTTTGTGCGGCAACGAGAGTAGATACACGGGCGAGGGCGGCCTAAAGAAGTCGCAACGGTGTTAGTAATTACTCAAGGGTACAATCAAGTAAAATGATGATAAAGCGGTAATTGTCGAATGTCATCGCCATAGTGTCGGTAGACCGCGGGGAGCATCGAACGGGTTCCGATAGCGACATGGTGAGATATCCCAGCAGAGTTTGATCGACTCCGCTTAGGCTCGTTTCATATTGCAAACATGTCCACGCCCAGCCTTCATACGCCATAAGACGGTCCAGTGGGTTCTAACGAGATTGCGTTCCGAGATACAACAAGAAAAAAAGAAAGACGATTCAACAAGGTATCTGGCACTCACAGCGCGGAGATCAGGGCGATATCCACGCTTCGCGTACTGGGAGGCGACGCCGAGGGCACGACGGCCGCCCGATCTTGGTCGGATGTTAGAAGTGGTGTAGCCGGTCGCAACCTGGGTCGGCGAGGCCTTGACTTTGCGAGTGGTAATTGTAACGCCAGAGGGTGAATCAGCCACGGCAATTGTCTACCGAGAATAACTAATATTCATTTCAAGTCTGGGAGGTAGGATGTGCCGAACGGACCTTGGAGTTAGCTAGTCCGGAGTACTTGTGCGAGTGCAAGTTGCGGAGGTTGCCCTAAAAAGTGTTGGCTGTGTCATTAGCTTTGTGCCCCGCCAACGCGGAGGGAAGAACGCACGTACAGGCTCCTTGGAGAAGACGGGTCCCTCAGGAACTCGCTTCACCAAGAAAGAGTTGTAGTTCTATTCGAAGTTGAGCAAAGGGTATTAGCTGAGTAAAAGTTTGCAGGGAGATGGTAAGCTGACACGGATGAGGAGCCACTGAAGGTCGGTAGACATGTTTGAGAGACTTGACGGTGTTGAGGTCGTTGTGTGAAGCGACCCAGAGTGCTCTCCCAAATGGGATGAGTTGTGGCTGATTAGAACTGTACAGTCGATGCATCACGTGCTTGCTACAATAAGCCGTTCGACTCCAGATTGTGACTTTACTTCTTGGTTTCGGTCAAGCCGAATTCGCGTTGATGGTGGCAGAGCAAAGCAAGTTTACTCCACTCGAGGGGACAGTCTTACTGGTATTCACCATCGATATGATAGGCAATGACCCCAGAGCACGAACTATGGAAACAGATGGAATCAGTAGCAATTTGAGTTTCATATATTGTAGCCAGTCACTATGATATTTCCTCCGATAGGTCGGTGCCGTCAGCTCAACAATCCGGCCTGTTATCTCATCCATCAAAGGTGAGTGTGTCTCAAGGTCGCTATCTGACTAGCATCGACGGCGGGTTTTTACCGGTTAAGAGAAATGCTACGGCCTTCTGCTGTCCACTGCTTCTAGCAAACCCGCAATGTAAGCCCCCTACAAAGCAATAAAACATTGAAGGGAAGGATATAGCGAGCGCTACGCTCGCGAATCCACCATCCTCTCGAGGTATAGGTAGCCAATGGGCACCACTTAGGTTGCCAAGGAGTATCTTGGAAGTGTGTAAGGGCACCTCACGAGCCCGCAGAACATCCTTTATCCCCAGTCCCCCGAGTATCATCGTCAGCACCTCCAACGGAAGAGATACCAGGGAGGTCTCGTCTCATAATTTAAGTTTTAGAACTACAGCGTCAAGTCAGCATTCCTATCCAATCTCTTCGGTCCCACTTTACTCACAAAGCGCAGAAGTACTAGTAACATAACTGTTTCGTACCCACGAGACAACTTTACGTGACAAACTAAGAGAGCGGTGCATCCAGTAGAGTTGGATATTCCGGATGAGACAAATTCGGGCTACAAGTTTCACAACGGCACCGACGATGAAATGGTTGTTGAAGTGCACCGCGAGTTCTTGCCACTAGGAACTTGAAAGAATGGTTGACTCTTTTTAGGCGCCGAGGGCCCAAGCATACACGCAGCCATCTTGCCAGTAGCATATTTTGATCGCGAGAACTAACTCGCGTCTCAACTATATACACAACACTACCAGTTTCACATGGGCAAGAGATGACGAAGCCAAAGCCGCTGCGTGTTACCCTGACAGAACCAAAATCCAAGTGGTCACGAACCCTCAACTCAAGGCAAGGTTATACCTAGTCAGCAAGAATAAGCGACTCAGCGAAAACCATGCGTTGGCTTGAACATACGTAGTTGGAACGTGGCTCTGCTTCAACCCAGTAATAGGAATTGGAATACCGCCGAAACCAAAGATCGTGAGCGCGCTAAGGATACACCGATAAATTGATGTTGCGCCAAGGGTTGCTGGATTACTCACTGAACATTGACGTCGGTGTTCAATAGATCTAGGAAGCCCAGAGGAATGATATCGAGAGAAGCAATAGCGCCTTGCGTCAAAAGGACGTTTGGTATTTCCCCGGTGTTAACGGTAGAGAACGGCGGGAGAACAAGACCCTTCTCAAAGGTGTGTTGGAAAGCCGCGAACTCCGTGCCATTGATACCAGCAGACGTATTGATTGTGTTGATGGTAAGCTCCACAGGTAAGGTGTTTGAAACTAAACGGTCATCAGTAGTGTCAACCAAGCCAACCAGAATGACTGACTCTCGACGGCTGTACTATAATAACAGAGTCAGCGTCATTTAACGATGGTACTGTTGGGATACGTACGTGACTAAATTAGTTGTAAGGCTCTCGAGCTATTTGGGAAATTGGTCAGGGAAAAGATGGCGGATCATGAGAAAGGACCATACGGTAATCGTCACGTTGATGCTTTTGACGAGTTGGATTTTGAGAGCGTTGATGATGTCGCCAACGGATATTTTGGCGGCGTCAGGAGCGGGCGCTGCGCTGACAAAAGCCAGGGAAAGAAGCCAGAGAAGCCCAACGTATAGAGCTTTGGACATCATCGTAAATATCCTGTCTTCTTGGGAGAAGGTATGGACGGAGGAGTGGTAGATTGAAGAGCTCTGGGAAGGGCTCGACGACGAAGCAGGGAGGAACGACCTGGCTTTTATTCATTTCGAGTTAAGCATACCCTTCTAGCTACCCGCCGATGCGACATTGATGTGAATCACGATGAAGCGAACGAACTTCCACGCGTGAGTAGGTCAAGTGATACGAAGCGCAGGGGCCTAGCACATGTGCGCCAGGATTATCCGCTAGATGATTGGATCACAACGGTGAAGCTGTATAGTGGGAAGAAACACCTAAGTCATTTGCCCGACGGCCACACATTGCATGAGAGACGACTCGCCAGGGGGACCAATTGTCGAGCCACATTAGGAAGAGTGCCGACGGAGTCAAATACGGATCCTTCGTATATTTCCATGGTGCACCTTGATCTACCGGAATGATCGTTGTGCACTTCCAGCAGGACTTTGAAATGGAAGATCAATCACAATTGAACCACGCAATGATCATCTCGCGCAATCACTATGTATAACAAGGAAGCTCGAAGAAAGCGATCGGATGCCTGATGTGGGAAATCACCAAGAAATGGAGAATGTGAGGCAGCAACGCTGAGATACAAGCAAGTCGGGAACGTATTATTCTCCTTCAGTCAATTTACCACGCAATGCGAGCTAGAAAGCCACGGGGGTACTGCCTATTCACCCACTTTCGGCTTTCATCAATGAATAGGACCCCAACACCATATCTGTATATTAGCGATTGGTGACAAGCAACAATGGGAAAACGAAGGGGAAGACGTACGCCATTGGAAGGAAGAAATATTCGGCCCTGATACCACGGGTCAGGAAAATCTTCTGGAACCAGGGCACATATGAGAAGAAGCTGTGCGATGGTTAGAAATTGCTGTCGACGATATGAGCACTACGCTCACCAAGCAAGGCCAAGGGCTGCCAACATAGCAGGAAATATAAAATAGTTCCTCGTCTTTGGCCCCCCGAGTGGGTTCTGTTGGAAAAGGGAGAGACGTCGGGTCCGAGTGGCAAGGAGATTAAACCACTGCATCAGGACAAGGTTGAAGAAATCTGACGTCCAGGATATGAGCGATCAGTTTCGCCTTAGGCTTAGAGATGGCTCACATATTGACTGAGCCCTGTTAGTCAACTCGAGTATGAGGTCTGGGTCCCCGTCGTAGTTTCCATACTTGAGCCACAAGGCAGAGAATGGGACACCGTTCTTCTGGAATCCAAAGTAGAATGCGCTGTATGATATCAAAGTCGATCATAAATGAGTGAATGGAGAGGGCGCAACGTACGCGATCATGGCGGTCAAGCTCTCGAATATCCCAATGAAGTAGGCGTGAAAAATGAGTTTCCAATCAGCGAGGCGATCCTTCTGGCGATCCCGAGGGTTTCTTGTGAGTAGGTCCGCTTCGGGTTTCTCGTAGACCAAAGATAAGGCGGGAAGGACATCGGTGGCCACACAAACGAGAATCATCTGGATGCTGCTCAAAGCCTGAGGTAGGCCTACAATGGCGTGTACGTTAGCGAGCCGGCACATGAACAAAGGTGGTTATGGATACCGAAAATGACGCTGAGGAGCACAGGCATAAGTTCGGAGAAGCTACCTGTAGAGTTTGTGGGTATATGGAAAAAAATAATCAAAGCTGAAAGGAGGTCCTACCGGCCGGGAGAAGGTACAAGATAGATTTGCGCAGGTTTTCGAAGCACAGACGTCCATATTCGATACCAGTGATTATTGCGGAGAAGTTGGATAAGAGGATCAAATCAGCGGCTCCCTGAGGAGGCGAGGGAACAAGGGTTTGCAAACAGTAATGGAGAAGATGTACGATACATTTCCATGGCTACTTCTGAAGCACCTGCAACCGCAACGCCGACGTCGGCCTGTTTGAGGGCTGGCGCATCATTGACTACGATTGATGTCAGTGTGCCGCCTACCATGCTAATCCATCTGCGAAAAACATACCTCCATCTCCGGTCACAGCTACAGTACAGCCTTGCTTTTGGAAGGCGCGAACAATTTGCAACTTCTGTTGAGGTGTTGTCCTGGCAAAGACCAGCTCGTCAAACTGCGACCTATGTTAGTTATAAACCGAGATACTATTACGTAGTAGAGTACTGACCTGAAGAGCTAATTCCCATTGCTGGTCGTTCATCATCATCATGTCCGATCCACTTAACACTAAACTAGTGAACCCGGCGTCATTCGTTGGGGCGGTAATAGTGCTCCGAGACCCATCCTTCTCCAACGTCGACTCGCCATTCGCATAAAGGTCTTGGATTCCCTTGGTATCATCGGCGCGGGTAGTGATAATACCGACCTGCCTGGCTATTGCTATTGCAGTCAAAGGGAAATCACCTTGGGAACATATGTTAGTGATAGGCAGGCAAGGGGAGGAGGAGACTCGCCAGTGACCATAGCGAAGCGAATTCCAGCACGACGGCTCAGACGCACTGTTTCGGCTGTATCAGGGCGAGGCGGATCAACAAGAGCGAGGAGGCCAACAATGACGAGGTCGTTGTTGAGAGTCATCAGATACTCTTCCGCCTGACTAGTATCTGCGAGCATGTTGTCGTCAATATGGTTGGAGGAAACAACTTTCTGCGCCAACAGTAACACCCGTTTCCCGCTTCCCGCTAACTCGTTGCGTGCAGCTAATAGGACGGCCAACGTTTCAGGATAGAGTTCCTTTGTGCTACCCTCTGCATCTAGGTACTTAGAGCATCGACGGGATAAAATGTCAGGCGCCTGTAATGTAGCGTCAATTTAACAGCGCGATTATGAAGCAAGGCAACAAAAGACGTACCCCTTTTACAAGAAGAAGGTGGTCGGATGCCTGATATTGGTCCGCTGGGACGGCTGAAAGGTTACTAGTACTGCGAAGTCTGAACAACTTGATGGCAAATTTGTTCTCTAAACGAAATATCGATACCAGATTTAAAGCGAGCGCATCGACAAACTTACTTGAATTGAATGCCACCTTCGCTACTTCTTTCCACCTATCCCTCACTTCGTCGACGGGCGATAGATCATCTGCGAACTTTAGAAGCCCAGCATCTACAACGCGAGGTCAGAGGGAGTAACAGTTTGAAGATGAGGTCGATTACCTGTGGCATCTCCGTTAACCTTCCTGTCTTCCGGCGGGACCTTCCCTTCGACATAACCAGCGTCGAAGACTGCATCATTACACAAAGCAGCTATTGTACCCATCGTGTCGAGGGCATGCATATCTGGTTTCTCCTGACGTATAATATTGTATACGTCCACTGCGGAATACTTCCCACTGACTGTGACAGCATCGGAGACAGACATCTTGTTCTGTGTCAAAGTACCCGTCTTGTCGGAAGCGATAACGTTGACGGCACCGAGACTTTCCACTGTCGACAGAGACTTGCAAAGAATATTGGCTTTCCGCATAGCTCGGGCGCTGCGTATAACAACATTAGGACGAGCGACACCAGGGCGCGAGTGATCGCTTACATCACGGTCAAGGACAGCGTCACACATATGGGCAAATCCTCTGATACGGTTCTGAGAACTTGTAGGCGGATATTAATAGGGATGCTTGCCTGGGATAAACGCAACGACGACCGACACACATTCAATCAAGAGAACAGGTACCGGAATGAAGTCGGGGTGGTCACGACGCAGCCAGGCTGCCCAAAGAACTAGGGAACAAGGTGACGGTCAACCTGCAGAGTGTCGCTCAACTTGCTGCGTGCACTCACTGACGATGAAGACTGCCACTGTGAGAGCCATGCCGGATATGATGAGGACGAAACGATAGATTTCCACCTCGAGCGAGGTTCTGACGGCGCGTTCCGAAGCAGCTTGCTTTGCGATCCTTCCGAAGACGGTGAGATCGCCGAGCCCTACACAGACACCCTTGCCACTTCCGCTGACGCACAACGTGCCCTGCAGTGCCATATTACGGGTCTCCATAACTGTCTCGAGTGTAAGCGATCAAAGCAACGTCAATGTAGACGAATAGCTCACAATTTGGGTCGGTGGCCTCTACGGACGCGGGTATTGCGTTGCTTTCACCGGTGAGTGCCGAGCGATCGAACTTCAAGTCAGAAGAAGTCTCTATAAGTCTAAGGTCCGCCGGGACTTTGTTACCCAGCGCAATGTGAACGATATCACCAAATACAAGCTCTGCCGCAAGGATTCTGGAGGTAGAGCGTCAGTGAAAATCGGCCACAACGTCGGCAAAAGGGTGCACTTACTTGAAGGGCTGGCCGTCACGAGTAACCAAGACATCGCTAGGAAGCATCCCTGTTATCGAGGTCATGACGCGGCTCGTGGACCATCCTTAACATTCCATGAGTTTCAAACAGAGCGATTCGGAGAAGGATGAATACCTTGCCAGGCATTAAAAGCCGCTTGTATGGCGATAACGATCAGGAGCACCACGGCCAATGCTAAGTTGGCCGCCGAAGGAAGTGGATCACCCAATGGACGCCTATATATGCAGTTGAGCCAGTCGGAGGAACAAATTCCCATCAACAAACGCACCAGGAAATAAAGCAAATGATGCTCGCAACGAACAGAAGAGAACCAAAACCTAAAGGGCGTTGCTTGGGGCACCAGCTGGGAGGACTGATGAGAAGCCATACCTCCAAATATATAACCGAGTATCATCTTGATATAATTACGAGGTGGGGGGCTGATGACATTCCGACCATTGCTTGCGAGCCGCCGCGCAGCCATTGTTACATCAAGGCCAACTTTATCGGAGACTCCGCAACGGATGCAGAGCTCTTCTTTGGAAAGGGTATGCCATTCCAGCTCAGAGATATCTAGAGGCGAGGCAAGGAGTGTATCAGTTAAGTAAATATATTGAATATCTCGCATAGGGCAACGGTCTCACCGGTGATATCCTTCTTGCTTGGGATATCATGTTTGCCTTCTTGAGTGTTCGTGACATGAATACTGCGGCGAAGAGGGTGAGAGTAAGATGGATCGTTCGCAGATTAGGAGAACGGTAGACGAACCTCAAAGTTCTGAACTCGCCAGGAAGCTTGACCCTGGGAGCGACCTTCGCATGTCCATGAGCTAAGTTCGCCGGCTGCCTTGAAGCATCGTGCTCAGTAACGCCCCTAGCCTCGACATGAATGCGAGTGATCACAGAAGCCTTCTCGATGTCGAGTTCTTCGTTCATATCAGGAGCTGTAACTGGACGCCAGGGAGAACACGCAGCTCTGTTTTGTAGGTCTGCCACCCAAAGACAAGGTTTGATTGAGGGAATTTTGCTAGGAGCCCGTATGTTCCTCGATTTTATTTCAATCGTCGGCGCAGCCATCATTCCGAACAAACAACTGGCAAAATTCCCTCTTTGATTATCGCCCATTCCTACGTTCAGTTGGAGTTGAGGGTCCCGCCCATCGGTGGAAAGATAAGACCTGTCTGCACATTTCGACAGTTCTCCCCTGACGGAGACATGAGATATGTCGACAGCGTTATTTACGAGCATTCGACCTCATGGTCGACGGATCAACACTCGCAAGATTTACGAGATGATATCTGTCAAAAAGCAAGAGCAGGGGTTAAGGCAGCTATAGAGGGGCGCCTGAAGCACGTACAACCTGGAGGCGTTCGATCGCGGTAAAACCGGCGAGCCAAAGGCTGAGTGGAAAGGTATAGCCTCTGTAAAGTCCTCGACAAGCACCTCTTCAATCTGATGTAAAACCTCAAGCAACCGCAAACAGCCAAGAAACCATCTGTTAAACAGAACAACGGCGAGAGCTTTTGAGGCTTGGCTCTTTTCTTCTGACACCGTTCCTCAGAGTAGCGTCGCCTCATCAGACGACTGTCATCTTTTACTTCATTTACGTTTCACTAATGAATGAGATGAGCAATGCACCAAGGCTGAACGCACTTATCATTACCTTTTCAAACATAACCGCGTCCCTAGGCATTCAAGTGTTGAGCGGAGGCTGGGTGAGCAAGTCGCATCGTCCCCTAGACCAGAGGGGAGTCCCTGCCAGCGCGATATTACACCCCAGCGTGTGCCGCCACACTTCGGTATCCTAGTAGAGCAAAGCAAAAAGCTTTGCGATCTTGGAAGTTATGAGCTAAAGACCTTGTCAATGGGCACAGCGTCAGGCATTGGTGTCAGTCATTGAAGCGTCGCTATCATTCCAAACGACTTCTTTCCGGTGTTTTCGAAGGTATCCCAATTTACTGGAACGACATAGTCGATGAAGGTGGTTTAGGCGCCCAATCTATGTGTGCTTCTTTGGGCAGCTGCACAGCCACCCAGGGGCAACAGGGCCCAGCCTGGCTCGCTGGAGCTCAAGACTCTCAAGGTCGCTTGTAAACAACTGCCACAACCTACCACACTACCTTCTTCTATCTACCATGGGTCGTTGGACGCAATACGACGAGGTGAGCTCCTTACCCTTTCGTTGCGAGCCTCGTTGCTCAGAGCCACTCAGGACGAGTACCGCCTGCCCGCGGGTATGAAACGGGTGGGCTATGACGCCGATACTGGTCGCTATCAGTACCGAAACGCAGGGGGACAACTATACGAGGGTCCCGAAGGCTCACAATTTGGAGAGCTGACCAGAGGTGCGTCGTTAGCCACTACATGATGCTGTATTGGGCTGATGGATGTGACGAGCAGTTGGCAGCGCCCCAATTACTACCTCAAATGAGGACGATGATGACCTAGAAGCTCTACCTGCTAGAGCGGATGGCTACCAACCTCTAGCTACTGACGGAGTGAGCCCGCGTTCTCCACGCTTTTTGATTACATGTGCTGACACTCCACAGATAACTCGACACAGATACAACATTGAATCACCCTATCGGATACTCTTCCCTTTCTTCCTAGGAATCGGCGTGATCCTCCTGCTGGTTTGGAGGCTCGTGCTGTCACCTGGGCTCTCACCGCCCAAGCCTCTCTGCCCGGAAGACACTCAATCATACCTGGTCCAGCCAGGGGACAATTGCTGGGAGATCGCACACTCGCACGGGTGCCCTTGGGCTGAATTTCAGAAGCTGAATTCAAACGTCAACTGCGATCGACTTACTCCAGGTGCGGTCGTATGTCTTCCAGGCGCTGATAGTTTAACTTGATTTTCATCTCATTTACGATTCATATTGGGCATTTCGCCTCGCTTGCTATATGATCATCCTATTTATTTGCGCACTGTATTTCGTCTTGTGCATCGTATTTTTCCACTCCTGCGACATGGGGCTGGCTCTGCTGCTTTCGTTGGAGGGAAGGTCCTATAAAATGATCGAGAATGAACGGAGACTGTAGCTGTCTCTGACACACTACAAATCATGGCTGCGCCTGATGTCGCCTGCAGATAGGATGCTAAGAGTCAAATTGCCCGTTGCAGTTGCTGCGACGAAGCCGAGAACTGTCACATGAAGCCGGGTGAGGGCTGGAATTGCGTCGATGCATGACAAAAAGGTCGAGCCCAAGGGTGAGAGTATGGAAGATCTTTGCTCAGGCCTTCATGTTGGAAGTCTATATGTATGTGATTTATTTCGGTGCGGATTTAGAATACACCAGCAGTACGCGAATCGCCCGGAAGCCCTCCTCCGAAAGCCGTGCGACGAGGCAACTGTATCTCTATGCGTCTGGGTACAATTAAGTACTGCCGTCAAGATCTAATGATAGAAACATACCACCACAGAACGAGGTCAAATTTTCACGATGAACTATAGAGTTCCTCCTTCAAGTTGACACCTGGCATAAGGACTGAGTGGCTGCTCCCGAGCCTACGAGGAATCACGGAAACTCACCGAGTTCTTCCCGCACTGGCTTAAGTTCGTCCAAGTAGGCTTGATACTGCTGGGCATTCTCCACTTTCTCCTTGACACCCTCGAATATCCGGACAGCAGTAGCGTAGTCGTCTACGCGACGAGCAGCGCGCAGGGCGGCCTCAATGACGGAAGGGGAAGGGACGAGATCATGGGCAAAGCAGTTGTTGAGCCCTCGCTGAACCTCGAAGAGGTCTTCCGCATTTTGGAAAAAACTGACATAGCGATCCGAGAACGCCTCGAAGGATTCTTGGGCGTGAGCATGGGCCAGCCGTGTAAAGGCGGGTGCGACCCGGGCTTTGGTGAAGGCAGGGCGAGCAGCGGCTCTGAGGGCGGTGGCAACGATTTGAGGGCGCATGGTGGATGTGGTTGAAGGAGAGCGGAGAGGATGCTCGGGATAAGCCGGATATATGCTCTTGGACCCTGGCTAAGCGCGGCCATCACCACATCCCTCCTCACTCATGGCCTAGAGTCCAAAGGACAATTCGAGGCTGATTCAACTCGCACAAACGTTAATTCAAAGAACGGATCACAGTCCCGCTATGCCTATAATCTTGTCTCGTGGTCGTTGCAGGGCGCGACCAGCTCAGAACTTACTAGCGGCGTGCTTCCTGTGCGTTTAGTGTCGAGCGACTCCCTAATTACCTTGCGTGAGCTACCGGCTCAGTTGCATTCAGACCAGCACATTGCTTGGCGTGCCGGAGGCGCGCTCACTGCGACGCACATCGATCGAAAATAACTTTGAATTCGAAATCGTTGGGAGACCCTGAGAAGGGCCTTCCACGACCACATCACGATATATAATTCGTCGACTACTGTGTTACCAGCCTGGCAGCCACTCTCAAGAATACTGGCTGACACTCCGTGGACTGGATAATGCGATAGGGGACGGCTTGCATCTATCGACGGAAGGATGGCGGACATCTGTGGAACCCCTTTTCGATATCTTTGCCCGCATATGCATATCTCGTCGTGCTTGGCACCCCCTGCGTTCGCTATGCACATACGATTCGCCCTGACTCTCGCGATGATACCAATTCTGTCGGCGATGCCTTCAAGGCACCCGTTTCTCGACACGACACCTACACCGACTGTTCCAAAATTCTCCACGGTTCATCCAGACAATAACTATTCAAAATGTCTCGACGTGCGCGGAGGTGTGCAAGAGAACGGCACGCTTGTTCAGTTGTACGTCTTCGTTGATGACAGTCGATATGTGGTTTTGGCTAACGGAACCCCGTAGACACGATTGCAACGGTAGCAAGGCGCAGAAATGGGTGGTCAGCCCGGGCGGCACGATGATACGATTGCGCGACACCGATTTTTGCTTGGACGTAGGAGACGGTAAGTCGTCATGTATAAAGCTACTATCATCCATGGGTTCACTCTGTGCTATTGCTAGAGCTCTTTGATGCTGATGTACGCCTCCGGATGTGTTCGGAAGGTCAAATTAGTCAAGCTTGGTACTACAGCCCCAGCGAACAGCTCGTCAGCCTCAGTAAAGGTTTGAAATCACCAGTTATTCCGTTCTGTAAGCAAGCTGACGTTTGAGGTAGGTCGCTGTGTCGAGTATTCAAACAGCTATACCAGTGGCAGTCCAGTCCGATTAATGGACTGCTTAGATGATTACCTGTACCAAGTTTGGGTCGCAGCCTGAGTATCACAATATACCTCATCTTCTTTCACTCCGTGAAATTTCGCTCATGCGTTGAAAACACTCATTCAATTTGTCACATAGCTATTCAAAACATGTCTTATCGCCCATTTCTGAACTCTTTGATCGCGTCTGCACTGCTTTGTGGCGATTGCAAGGACCTTGGTAAACCTTTTCATCAGCGATCACGTACTATCCACGGTGGTTTTGAAACTCACTTTAGTAGGTCTCGTAGCTGGCCAACTTGGCAAAGTCCTTCTTAGTGTAGGACTCGACGATTGCTTCAGCCTCGCCGAGAGGGACCTTGATGCTCCTCGCGACGCCGCTGTCGTCGTGGTAGGTGAACCCGGAGGGCCCGCAGGTTGAGTTGTCCGCACGGGAGGCGATGACGTCGCGTCTGCCACCCTGGGGCGAGTGGAACCAGTTCATGTGCGTGGCACGGGCTCCTCCACCGTTCCAGCATCTGGTGCCGGGCCCGAAGACAGAGAACAGGAAGCTCCCGCAGGTGTTTCCGGTGTATCCCTGGCCTTGGGTACCCGCTGGAAGGTCGGCGAACTGCACGGAGAAGCCAAACCCAGTGGGGAGGGAGCAGCACACTCCTCCGTTGTCGTTGCAGAAGAAGCTGGGACCGCTACAGGCGACAGTAGAAGAGTACCCATCGTAGCGCAATGCGTCTGCGAGAGGGGCGAGGGCGGTAACAGCGAGGAGAGCAAGAGGTTTGATGTTGAAGTACATTGTTGTCGTTTGGTGGTTTAGCTGACTTGTGAACTCGACTAGGTCTCGTTGCTGCTCTTTCACTCAACATTCTTGCAAGGCTTTATAGGATTTGAAGCATACCGTTTTAGGTGCACGGAGAACTCTGCAGGACTCACATGGCACGACGACTCATCCTCGCAGAAAATCATATCCCTTCAATCATCTGGCACCTAGATGGGGCAGCACTCATCTGGGCTTTGCGCGCTCTGCGCGCTCTGCCTTGAATGTCCCACCACCCAGACGTCGCCGAGTCATACAATTCATTCTGCTCTTAGTCTCTTGTACTTAGGCCCGATTATCGTCCAGCCCGCAGGTAGCTCCCCTGCTCAGACCCTCGCTCAACTCTCCGGTCTCGGTGAGCGCCTCAACGCTCTTTGGTACATCGTTCTGTAGTGCCGGGACTCCTCTTTTGCCTCGCTCAGCCTCGTGGCTATTTTTGCCACAAGCATGTATTTACGTTGAAGCGGTGAACGTTCGACTATAAGGTGATATCTCAAAGGAGATGATCACTTTATTCGTTCAGCTGATCTTTGCTAGTGGTTTCCGAAACTTTCGGTATGTAAGTGCTTCGCTTCGTCGGATCAATTGTTTGAAAGCCTTACCTACTTGGTCGTTGTCGAGCGGTACATAGCAATGGGCGTTCGGCAGCATCTGACATGGCCACTCTTCCGACGTTCTAATGAGGCTCGTGCGTTAACGACATTATTCCACTCCAGCCCATTCAAGAGCTCACAAAACCGGCATACTCTACGTTTGACTGACGTAATGCAGAAGACTCTGGGTTGACTTCTCAGATGCAAAGCACGGCACGGATTTTGCAGCCGACGACTATCGGAAGCATGTTTGTCGATCAGGACAATCAATTCCGCATGGATTCTCTCTTGTAGTATCGTGAGAGTTTCTTTCTTCGTTCCAAGGAGATGGGGAACACGTTACGAGTTCGGAGGGGTCGGTCAGCAGAAACAACGCCAACGCGCATGGGTCCGCGTGGTTTGACCTCACTTCGAGTTCTGATCACATGGGGAGAGTTCTACGTTCTGAGACGATACAGACCGCATGACAGTCATACGGGTCCTTCGAGGCTTTTTTTCGCGGTGTTGAATTTAGGTGCTGACCGTGAAGGCTAAGGATAGATACTCCCCGGTACGTCGAATATGAAGGCCATGTCGTAAGTTCGGAGTACGTGGGGAATATAAAATTTGGACCGTAAGAGCGATATCGGCGACGCTCAGTGCTCAGGTGGTGATGCGGGACCTTGTGTTCCTCTGTACTACCCCCTCGAGCACATGGATTACGAACAACAACGGCGTTGATTTGACTGAACGACTCAGATGAGGCAGCGACGACGCGCCACTCTACTCAGCCATCCAGTCCATCTATGTCGGAAATGATGGGCTTCGTATGCATAAAGATCGCTTCAAGGCCAGGAAACAGAGCAACAACCAGACTTAGTTGAGCTCGTAAATTTCAACAGAGCCTAGAGGAAGAAACTAGCAATGCACATGAGTGTTAGCCCTCTCGTTCTCCTCCCCCTTACCATTCTTGCCCCACTCGTAAGCGCAGTGCGCTACGCTGGGTTCGCTTCTACCGTCTCCTGCAGCGGGGCCAACTTCTTCTGCGACGATGGAGGGGCGGTGTGCTGTTCTCTCCCCACTGGATTTGGCTTTTCCGTCGAGTTCGACAACCTCCCAGCGGGTACCCAAGGCCAAGGATACACGGGGGACACCTGCGGGGACTTCCTGTTCTCCGTCTTCGGTCCCGACACGAAGTGCTGGAACGGCGGAGGTGTCCGTGCTACGCACATGAACTGGTTCCATTCGCCCCAGAATACCAGGCGCAACTTTCTCCCCGCCCGTGCGGACAACTCGACATGCGCTCCCTCCGGCTTCACGTACCACGACGAGAGTAGCACGCAGAAGACCATCCAGGTGCCTCTTGGCGAAGCGAACATGGTGGCAGAGTCGTATCACAAGAGGGATTTTGCCAAGCTGGCCAGCTACGCCGTCTACTAGTATGGTAAGAATAAGCTGTTTTTTGAGATGCAATCATTTCTGACGGCGGAAAAATTCGTACCTTTAGTTTTGGATACACACTGTCGCTTGACATTATGCGGGCACGCCGCACATGCGCTCTTGCTGTGTTGTACTATGTAGAATCTGTTGCAAAATATGATGGTCGCGCATCGATTGCAATGTTTTTCACAGGTCCTTCATGAATCAATAAATCTGTGCACTGTCTGATCTATGTAGTGGTTGCCCGAAATTGCAGGTCAACAAGAATGTCACAAGCAGGCTCGGAAGACTAAGGCTCACCTCGGACTTGTCTAATGACAGTGGCTCGTTGAATCTTCGATAATCATGTGACCAGTCGACCGGAGCGGACTGGCGGACATGTGCGGACATTCGCTCAGAATTGCTCATCGACGAAAAGGGATGGCGAATTCAAAAGTTACGCACAAAAGCCATTCGGTAGAACAGATGGATACCCCGCATTCCAGCCATGCAATCCACAACTTCAGCCTACCCGTCGCCGACGAAAGGTGCATCCTTGATTCTGTCTTTTCGGCTGCAACACAAAACTACGCTGATCGTTGGTGGGGGTCTGTTGGCTGCTTCTCGAGCCCTTGCAGCGTTGGAGGCGGACTCCAATGTAGTCATCTTTGCTCGAAAGGACTTCATTTGCGATGAACTTCGCTGGAGGCAACGACAAGGCGAGGTCATTGTCTTTGGATCGGACGATCTACCTTCCTCGAGCTCGCATCATGAAGACGGCGATGCCCAGGCCATCAATGCATACTTGTCGTCGAACCCGGGGACGGTCAGCTTCGTTTGCGTGACTGATACACTGTCTGGTTCCCTTCGACGATCACAAATCTCTGCAGCTCGGATATATCATGCATGCAAAGCGCACAACGTCTTGGTCAATGTCACTGACATGCCAGAGTACTGCGACTTTTCATTTACTTCTACACATCGCTGGGACGATCCGTGCACTGGTACAAAATCTGCTCTCCAGGTCGGGGTGACGACGAATGGACAGGGGTGCAGGCTAGCAGGGCGAATAAAGAGGGAGATTGTGGCGGCGTTACCGAAGGAAGTGGGTGGCGCATTGAAGCGCGTTGGGGAGCTGAGGTTGCTTGCGAAGGAAAAGACGAGAGAAGTGCTCAGTCAGCCCACGCAGGACGAGACTACCTTCTACGAGGAACTTGAGGTAGTCGAAGACAACTGTATCGCCTCCCCGAATCGGCCTGTATCACAACGTAGTCAATCTGAAACACCTTCAGAATACGCCAGACGATGCATGAAATGGGTCGCGCAAGTCAGCGAATATTGGCCGTTCCATCAACTCGCGAATATGACCCTGTTAGACATGGAGGAAATATTGAGTGGTGGTCACTCTCCACCAGCGAGGCCTGTTGACACCGCGCTTCGGTCTATCCACGAATTGACACTGACGAAACCTCCTGGCCGAATACTTCTGGTTGGCTCTGGGCCGGGCCATCCGTCTTTGCTAACACTGGCGACCCATACCGCCCTCACAAAAATGGCCGACATAGTACTGTCAGACAAACTCGTTCCTTCTGCTGTTCTCGACCTCATCCCTTCGTCCGTCACTATTCGCATAGCTCGTAAATTTCCTGGTAACGCCGAAGGTGCACAAATCGAGATGATGGAAGCCGCCGTAGACGCGGCCAAGCAGGGGCTTTGTGTCGTTCGTGTAAGCTCGGCACTTCTTCATCTAAGTTTTCGGCTAAAACCAGAATGAAGCTGAAGCAAGGTGACCCCGCAATCTACGGCCGTTTTGGCGAAGAGGTTCTTTACTTCCGTGCTCATGGCTTCGAACCCTTGGTGATACCTGGCGTTTCATCTGCAATTGCTGCCCCCACCTTTGCGGGCATCCCAGTAACCCAACGCGGAGTAGCAGAGTCCCTCATGGTCTGTACCGGTGTCGGCAGGGCAGGCAAGACCGTTGTGCTACCTGGGTATGAAAGGGGACGAACACTGGTGATCCTCATGGGGGTGGCAAGATTGGCACAGGTGATCCGTACCTTAATGCAGGAGGGAGACAGAGATGGAGCGCCATATCCGCCGCATCTTCCGATCGCCATCATTGAGCGGGCATCGATGTCAGATCAACGCGTTATCACTTCGACCTTGAAAGATATAGTGCAGGCGATGGACAGCATCGGCGAGCAGCGGCCTCCTGCTATGATGGTTGTTGGGTGGGCCGCTCTTGCACTGTGGGGGGACGGCGACATGAGTGTACTGGACGCGAAAGACGGCAACGGCGATGAAGAGCGCATTAGCAACTGGTTAGGCTCTAAGGTGGGATGGAGGGTGAGGGAAGGTCTGGATGACGGTTGGCAATACTTCTGACTTGCAATCGTGTACCATGCCTATAGAGTACTCAATCACTTAATAATCTAAGCGCTTCCTTAGTTGAGCAGCCTGTGCAATACTTGAAGTCGAGGAGTCCATAGAGCCAAATAAGAACAAAGGCGCGACGCGTGTCACGTGGTTTCAACATTGTTCCACCACCACGAGTAGCGGGAGCCGTTTGGACTGTTCATTATGCCTCCTCGAAGATCTTCGCGCTCACGCGCGTCCGTTGAACCTGCTACCCGCACCGAAATTGTCGTCCCGAAAAGAAAGAGAGGTAGCCAGGTGCCCGATGATACGCCTGAAGAAAAAGAGAACCGTGTAAAGCCCCCATCTCGTGGGACGCGACGATCATCTGTTGTCAAGACCGAGAACCTGGACGCACCTGTTAAAGCGCGTCCATCTACGCGTGCCAAAGTCTCGCTCCCTGAACTACCGGAAAGCGATGAGGACGAGGATGTTCCCCCTGCAAAGAAGCCACGGCCGTCCTTGGGTGCCGATCAAGATAGTGAAGACGAGGAGCTACAGCATATGACGGATACGAGACGTCGGAAGCAAGGAGCACCGGGAAAGTGAGTACTTCATCGTACTTCATAGAATCCTAGATATTGACCCCTAATAAGGAGGACCAGTACTCGTAGCAAACAGTCGCGTCATTCCAGCCCAGGGGAAGAAGTATCTGCACCCATCGTGCTTTCCGACGACAATGAAGACGAAGACGACCCACAGCCCCGCAAAGGCACTGCAAAATCCAAGTCGCCACGAAGGCAAGCTCGTTCTAAACCTGTATCAGATACTCAAATGGACACGTCCGATCGAGACCAGAATACATTAAAGACAGAAGAAGAACCTGAAGCTAGCAAGCATGATGAGGCGTCGGAGGGTGATCACGAGAACGGTAGTGCGCCCGATCCTGCAGAAGTACCTTCTGATGATGAAAAGGAAGAGGTTTCTCTACTCGAACCGCAACCGATTCCAAAGCCTACGTCACAACCGCAGGTCGTTGAGGAGGAGCCTCAGGGACCAAAGCCACGACTAGTTATCCACAAGCTAGCTCTTGTAAACTTTAAGAGTTATGCCGGGAGGCAAGTTATTGGGCCGTTCCATAAGGTATGGCGCTTCACGGCTTCTCTATCCCCTCTACTCACTCTGTGACCTCAGTCTTTCTCCGCGATCGTTGGCCCGAATGGCTCAGGAAAGTCAAATACGATAGACGCACTCCTTTTCGTCTTTGGTTATCGAGCAACGAAGATGAGACAGGGGAAGCTCTCGGAATTGATTCACAATTCTGCTATGTACCCTGATCTGGACGAGTGCAGCGTAGAAATCTATTTTCGTGAAATCATCGACCTGGTTTGTTCCTGTCTATTTCCTACGAACATCAGCTTATAGAAGTTTTAGCCTGGACCCGAAGACTTTGAGGTGGTTCCAGACTCTCAGCTAGTCGTTGCTCGCCACGCCTACAAGAATAATGGCAGCAAGTATACCATCAATGGGAAGAGTAGCTCGTACACTGAAGTCCAGACGTTGCTGAAGGGGCGAGGTATCGATCTCGACCACAAGCGTTTTCTAATTTTGCAGGTCTGTTCATTTTCTTTGAGTTCCTTCCATCGCTTTAACTCTATGCGGTGCAGGGAGAGGTCGAGTCTATAGCGCAGATGAAGCCCAAAGGCACCGAACATGATGATGGCCTCCTCGAATATTTGGAAGACATCATCGGAACTTCGAAGTACAAAGAACCCATAGAACAAGCTCTCGTCGAAGTTGAACGTCTACAAGAGGAGCGCGGAGAGAAGCTCAATCGCCTGCGGATTGTCGAGAAGGAGCGGAATGCTCTAGAAGGAAAGAGACAGGAAGCGATGAACTACCTTCGTCTCCACAATGAACACGTACGAGCGCAGTCTCGTCTGTTGCAGTGGTACCTGTGGAAATGCCTGGACGGCGATGAAGAGCTGAGAAAGTCTATCGTGAGTAGGTCTAGCAACGTTCATCGTTCTTGGCTAATAGGTGGTGCACAGGCTAAGCTGAAGGCGGATCTGGCTGAGCTAGTCGAACGGAACAAGGATGACATAACGCACTACAATATGTTGACGGAACATTACGCAGAGCGCGAGCGAGCTTATGAGGTGCTTTTCCTTGATTCGAGTTATTTAATCCTTCTGAATTTCTCCTCCTGCAGGGTGTTCGTGCTGCCGCAGCCGAAGCTACAAAAGATCTTGCGAAACAAGAAAAAGAGGAGGTCAGCCTTAGCGAGCGACGTAAAAACGCGCAGTCGAAAGCGAAGAAGTTGAAGAAGACTCTGCAAGAGGTATCTAACCCTTCAACACATGTCCCGACGGTAGTCTAATCACAGTATCCTAGGACGAAAACGCGAAAGCCACGACGGAGAGGCTAATCGAGGAGAGTGCAGATAAGAAGGCTAGGGCCGAAGCTAAGCTTGAAGAACATAATAGGAATCTTGCCACGGAAGAGAAGGAGCTTGAAAAGATTCAAGAGAGTCTTAGAGGTAAGTGCCCTCTCCACCTGACTACAGCCCTGCGTTTGATACTGACGTGCACGATGCAGACAAGACGCAGGTTTTCCATGATCAAATTGAAGTCAAGCAAAAGGAACTTCAACCGTGGAGAGCCCGAATCAATTCCAAGCAGGCGGAGATCGACGTTGCTACGGGGGAGCGTGATGCTCTTGTGAAGAAAGCCGAAGAGATCAAGCGAACTCACAAGGAAGCTCAAGAGACTCTCAGCCAACTACACGCCGACCAAGCCTCTAAGGTGGATTTACCTTCCCTATTCCTTGATCAAGTACTTACGGCGATCTAGGAGGAAGAAATCCAGACACTCCGTTCGCAGAAGACTCAGAATGAACGAGATGCAAGCCGGCACAGAAAAGCGGTACAGGTACGATTTATGCCCCTTCTACCCGCAAATCTTCAACCATGTCGCCTTAGGATCTCCAAGGCAAAGTTGACGAATTGCGCAAGAAGTCCTCCTCCGCGCGAAGTAAAGTTGATGAGGCGAAGGCATCGCAAGCTGCTAGCACTTCTCAGAACCGCGTCGTTGATGGCTTAAGCAGACTAGCATCTCAAGGACGCATCCAAGGGTTCCACGTAAGTCCCTGTCCGAGTAAACAGGTATGGGTCTGACTCGGTTTAGGGTCGTCTTGGGAGTCTTGGAACCATCGATGATAAGTACGATGTCGCGATTTCCACAGCCTGCGGGGCCCTCAACAACATCGTTGTTGATACCGTCGACCAAGGTCAAGCGTGTATTGAATACTTGCGCGCTCAGAACCTTGGCCGCGCCTCCTTCATGATCCTCGAGAAAGTCGCCCACTCACCAGGCATGGCTCCTATCAACACCCCCGAAGGCGTCCCTCGACTCTTTGACCTCGTAAGGCCTAAGGACCCTCGCTTTGCTCCGGCCTTCTATAAGGTGCTTCGAGACACTCTCGTGGCTACGGATCTTAATCAAGCCAATCGTATCGCCTATGGACAGAAGCGGTATCGTGTTGTGACTTTAGAGGGGGGCCTGATCGATCTCTCTGGTACAATGTCAGGTGGCGGTAATCAGAAGATGAGAGGGCTCATGAGCTCGAAATTTACTGCCGAAGCTGTGAGACCGGAGACTCTGCGCCAATACGAACAGGACAGCGAGGCAGCCGCCCAGCAGCTTGATGCAGCTATTCGCGATCTTCGAAACGCAGAGACTGAACTAGAACGCATCTCAGCTATCATTCCACGATCGACAATGGATATCGAGAAGTTGGAACTGGATGTGGCCAACTCAAAGAGGAGGATAAGGGATGCTGAGAAACGCGTCCAAGATCTGAAGTAATCTCCTTGACTGTGAAACTAGCCGTTTACTGACCATCCTCCCTGCGTATCTAGAGCTCAGAGTCGCCCAGACGCTGGAGACTTGACTCGCATCGGGCAACTCGACCAAGAAATCTCATCCTCTACCGAAGAGCTCGAATCATTGCAGGAGAAGTCTAGCAAGATCGAGAAAGCGATAGGTGAACTGGAGAAAAAGATTCTTGATATCGGCGGGTCAAGACTCTTGGCGCAGAAGTCCAAAGTTGAAGGGCTAAGACTTCATATTGACCTTGCCAACGAAGATATCACCAAAGCCGAGGTCACGTCTACGAAGGCAAAGAAGGATCTTGTCAAGTATCAGTCCTCTCTATCAACTAGCGCCACCGCTTTGGAGGAAGTAGACTCAGAGCTGAAGGAATTGGATGAAGAACTGGGCGTTCTTGGGGCATACGTCCGTGAACTCAAGAAACAGGTCGACGATGCACAGGCTGCGGCTGAAAATTCTAAAGAGGATCTAGAATCTTTGAAGACGGAGCTAGATGAAAAGGAGGAGATTATTCAAGCGTTCAAGCAAGAGAAGGTTTGCTCCTCAGGTTCTGAGTATTCTTTTGAAGAATAACCCGTGTTGTCTAGATGGAGATCGATCAGAAGTTGTCAGAAGAGCAAGCCCGGTTCAAAGAAAACGACGCCGCAATCAAGGGCTATACTGCGAAGCATAAGGCCCTTGTCCTAGAAGATATAGAGTAAAGCCCTCAACTTCTGCATATTTGGCGCTTTTCTCATGTAATCTACGCAGTGACGATGGCGATGACGATGACGATGACGATGAGGAGGGAGAGGGAGAGGGAGAAGACGATGCAGCTAGCGAAGGCGGGGATCCCGACAGTGCTGAAGTCAAGGAAGAACCTGGACAGGATAAGCCTTCGCGAGGGAGGAGACGGACGAAGACCCCTTCAAACGAACTCCCGGCGATTCCGAAGTCAGAACTACAACACTTCCAGCATCGCCAACTAATCGCCGACCAAGAATTGCTTGACGGTCAGCGTTTTTCAGGCTCAGATTATGCGAGAAGTGGCTCATATTAATCCTCATAGAACGGCTGAAGAAGGCTAAACCAAATCCTGGCGTCTTGGAAGAATATCGAGAACGCGAAGCCGAATATCTCCGACGTGTCAAAGACTTGGAGGATATTACAACCCAGCGCGACAAGCAGAAGCAGATGCACGATGGTTTGTGCAAGCAACGTCTTGAAGAGTTCATGGCTGGCTTCACTCTCATCTCGTTGAAATTGAAGGAGATGTATCAGGTCAGTCGGCGTATGTCACTACCACTGACAGTCCAAACTTACAATCACGCGGGCAGATGATTACCCTTGGTGGCAATGCAGAACTTGAGCTGGTCGACAGCATGGACCCCTTTTCTGAAGGTATCATATTCAGCGTCATGCCTCCGAAGAAAAGTTGGAAGAACATTTCTCATCTTTCCGGTGGTGAAAAGGTCCGTTGCATTCCCTTCGTCTGACATCTTCTCTCAATTGTGTCGACTCCCTTAGACTCTGAGCTCCTTGGCCTTAGTTTTCGCTCTACACGTCTTTAAGGTAAGCGCTCGAAGATCAACATATTGGTCGTAACTGAACGAGCTATCTTCACAGCCGACGCCTCTTTACTTCATGGATGAAATCGACGCCGCCCTTGATTTCCGCAATGTCTCAATCATAGCCAACTATATCAAAGACAGGACGAAGAATGCTCAGTTCATCATTATCTCTCTTCGGTATGTCCTCTTGTTTTCTCTACAACAATATGCTGACATCCGGTGCAGCAACGATATGTTTGAATTGAGCCATCGACTCATTGGTATATATAAGACGTCGAATGCTACTCGAAGTGCGTACAGTGGCGTAAATACTATTCGATGATTCTGATTCTTTCCCTAGGTATCTCGGTGGATAATCATGCCCTCTCAAATCTCCCGACGCCTGCGCCTACAACTACATGAACACTACAATATACCGTTTTACCGTTTTCCTCCTATCTTGGGCTAGCTATCGTAGCGTAAGAATGTTTCTCGCACGACCATGTACATTCATCTGTACATTGTATTATACCACGCTTGTTGTAACTCAACCACATTTGGGGGCTAGGTTAGCAGCCGGGCCAAGCGCCTTCCGTAGGAAATGGCTGAGGTGATTTCCTTCCCAATCCCTGGAGGTGAGTATGCCTGAGGTGTGTGCAGAATAGCCAAGAGGAAAGAGGATTGGTGGAGAGACAGTGAACCATAGATGACAAAGTGCTTCTGACGCAGTCAACCGACCAGATGGCGGGTAGGCCAGTAGCGACTCGATGAGATTCAGTGGTGTATCCCCTCCGTCATCGTCGACATCTGTTTCCGAGTCTGACTCTTCATATTCGTCGTCATAGTCCTCAATCTCCACGTCCACGACCTCTTCTTGGGGAGGGGGAGGTAAATTCGGCAAGAACCTCTTCAGCTGCACGCGTGGCGTCTCGATGAATGTAACCCGCTGCGCATCTGGCAGATGCTTGAAGCCAGGCCATGACTCTTCAGTGGGTGTTCCACGGATCTTGAAGATACTCCAAGCAAGCCCGATCTCACCTCGCGATGCATCGAAGAGAGAGTGCCGAGTCCAGCGACACCGGGGGCTGAGGACTATCGTTGCTCTGGGAAGAATGAAAGGTTGGATGGGTTCGGGTTCTTCACTTTCGTCACTCTCGTCGCTGAGGTTGGTAGCAGAGGGTTGCGAGTTGCTTGAGGGGAACGCAAACGAGGGGTCTTCTTCGTCCTCTTCGAAGAGTTGCAGTGGTGTGAAGAATTCGACGATAGAAGCACCGAGGCTCCAGAGATCGACCGCATGAAGATCGTACGATCGCGCTCCGAAGAGGAGCTCCGGTGCACGGTAAGGGCTATGTGATGCGTGAGCAACAGCGGTGCGGGCGGCATAAGGGAACGCACCCCGTGGAAACTTCGAAGTATAACTTATCCTTGGACTCCGGCCAGAGATCATCTTGGTATTCGTACTCCCGCTCACCCCTACGGTACGAAATACCGAAATCGATGAGCTTGACGCAACCCTCCGGAGTGATGAGTACATTCGAGGGCTTGATGTCTCTGTGGGCTATCTTCTTTGCATTCAAGTATGCTAACGCAGTGATGAGTTGGAATATAAGAGATTTGGTGAGGATGATGAATGCGGTTTGGTGCTTCTTTATAGCGGGGGCATCGGGATCTAGCAAGGCCATGCTAGAGAAGGGGGACGGATTGGGGGCACACAATGGCGAGGCCAGGAGATCAACAAGGCTGAAGGCGATGTATGGCATCTTGAATACGAGTGTGTGACTTGATCGTTCATGATGAAGCACCTCAATAATCTAGGTGAAAAATGTTACGAATATTCGTCTGAGCGCAACTCCTGGGACTTGCATTCTGGTGCGAAAGGCTACGTAGTAGCCTGAGTTCTTTGATGATGTCGTGAGGTTCTTTCGCTGAACTCCGGTGAGTACTCGCTGCTTTGACTGCTAGCCATTGCGGCTGACTGCCCGCCGCGGAGCCATACGTCCGCGAAACCGTAGAAAAAGGCCCAGCCTGGATTACAGAATCTGATTGATCATTGCCCTGATAAGGTTTTTAGCACTCGAGTTCACAAGGGAAATGAATGAGCTCACCGTTGAGCCCTTGATATCAATGCCAAAGAGCTGGGACATTCGTCTCTGTAAAGTGGCAGCGTCCATGTCAGTGAATTGGCTATGGCTGATAGTAGGAGACGCAAGGGACTGGAGCTGTGAACGATGGCGCAGAAGACATTGGTTCACTGTAGTTATACTTATCGATTCGGAAAGCAAAGCCGGAGTGTTAGTGTTGATGGTTGATGTCAGAACCACCTTTCCGGCGCTCATCTCCCTTCAAACACCCATTCCAGGACATGACCTCGCAAGGAGCCAGCAACAGTATGTACGCCCCAGAGATCCATGCCACCAAGTCTAATTTCACTCACCGGTTGTGCAATGATGTATGATTCTGTGTGATAGACGAGCGATTGATTGCTGCCGCTCGGTCCGACAACGAAGACCTGCTGGTGGAGATATTTGAGAACGGGGACTTCGATATTAACTACCAGGACGGGTGCGTGGATTCAACGTGTATCGTCTGATCTATCGCACTGATCATGGGTAGATTGGGCAATACCGCTCTGCACTATGCGTTCGTGTTGAACGCTGATCCCCCTATGTAGGCTCAGTTGCTGATCTCAATTCAGTGCAAGCTACGGCTCTACGACTGTCCTTGAACACATACTATCTCACGACGACTGCGATGTCGACCCTATCAATAGACTTGAAGGCGCAACTCCACTGCACCTCGCCGTAAAGCTAGAAGACCACGACCTGAGAAATGAAGTAGTAGAAAGCTTGTTGGATGCAGGTGCAGACGTTACGTGAGTACCATCTGACGTCCGTTCTCCGCACCGTTCATTAGCAGCGTGCACTAACACCACTTCATCGTAGAATCAAAGACAAAAACGGAGAAACGGTATCAGATCTGCTGTCTCCAACATCCGAAGCAGACGCGGATGTTCGTGCTCTCATACGTAAATCTCAAGTCTCTGCTGCGGTTTCTGCGGACGATGTTGCTAGCGGTGCGTCATATGTTCCACGGAGTACCCAAATCTCATGCGCTCCATTGGACATGTAGATAGTGAAGGGGAACCTGGCTCGGGGTCCGGTTCCGATGAAGAGTAGTTCCGTGGATGAGTTTCAAATGAGCTTACGACTCTTGAATGAAACCTAGATGGTGGGATTTCACTTCGATTCCCTATCGGCTCATAAATGCTATCATGACTGTCACGACCCGCTTGTACCGCTTAAACAATAACAGACACATGCTCACCACGGTACGAGGCTTGCTTAAAGCCCGTCCCAGTTGGACCTGGTGCTTCTACCGCCGGATCAGACGCTTAGGCTTTTCGCCATCTTATCTCGCCAGTCATACACCACGTACATGCATGAGATGCCCAGAGGCTGAGGCCAGTTCGGCCAGACGCTTACCTAGATACCACAAGTATCGAATGCCGCCATCGTTGTCTGAGTCGAGGCTGCTCACCCCCATTAATATTAGCGTGTACTGTCAGCAGGGGCTGGCCTCAAAGCCGGTACATTGTAGATCAGTCAGGTGTGTCCAGGCGTAGATGTCCTACGGATACATAAAGAGACTGTTCTTACAGTGCACCTTTTATGTATCATCACCTGTACTAACAGTGAGCACTGCCTGATGCATCGCGTTATATATCACACAGTCCTTGTTACATAATTTACCTTTCGCTCCGCTGGCACTGGCGCGCGTCGGCTTTGCGCCAGGTGGGCAATGCTGGGATTAATTTGCGCTCTGCGCCCCGCCATCCATAAAAGGTGTGTCTTGAAATGGGCAACGAAGAATCTCCCGTGAGATCTGGTGAATGCTTCTTTTATTTTGCCCGATCGAACCGAGAACCGATAAAAGTACCCGATCCCTCTCCTTGGAACCCCGCAATGCGGAGAAACATATCTGTATGTCAGAGAAAGCAAAAGCCCGCTTGCTCACCTCGTCACCTCGTCAATGTGCCCAATCATCCACCACATCATGGGGGTGGTTTGGGAGAAGGGATGTTTTGCTTCAAAGAATGTTTTGCTTCAAAGAACCCATATGTTAGGCGGCAATATGTTATAAAACATATGTTAGGCAGCGGCAATATGTTATAAAATATTTTATGTACCTGTTACTTCGACAATATATCCCTGAGTCATCACTGGACTCCAAACACCCAGTCAATTGCACAGAACAACGGCAGAAACATAGAACGGCACCTTGGGACTTGTTACCTCTCAGATAAGCGCTCGTGGACTTGGTAAATTTTCAACTCCCCAGCATAAGCGCTCGGGACTTAGACACTTTTAACGTTCGGAGCGTAAGCCTCGGGGTTCGGAGCATCACTACGGGTCCAGTGCTTTATGATAGATCACGCAGAAGCTCTATTGGCAAGGGCAAGTACATACGTCACATAAGTAATGATATCTAAGTACGCGTCCCATGATACCTCAGTAAAGTACGTCTGCTCACACACCCTTGGAACTCTTGCTACTTTTACCTTTCTTGGGGTGCCTGTTCTCCTTCTTTTTGGTGATGCTTGTGGCCTCCCACTCCTTCCGCTCGGATAGCTTCCGAACACGCTTCCCGGGCACAATAAAGGCCGAGTCTTCTCCTACATCCAGAGCTCTTTTGCGGCGACGGAGCGGTGCGGGGTTCCCAATCATCGGACTGACATCAGAACCAACGTCAGCAACAGGGCCCACCGTCTCCGCATTTTCAGCATTTCCTGTTGGGACGCCAGCGGCGGTTGAAGGCAAGAGGACGGGGGATGAGACGGCAGGGACGGGCGACGAGGCGACAGGCGGCGATGAAGGCAAGACGACAGGGGATGAGACGGCAGGAGGCGATGACGAGGCAACAGCGGGCGATGGCAAGGCGACAGGCGGGATGGGCAGGATGGGGAGTTCAGGTGCCGTTGAAATGGGTGTGGCAGGTATCCCCGGAACGGTGACGACGGTGGGAATGGGCGCAAGATTGATGGAGGTCATCTTAGTGGCAGCGTGGGTAATGTAGTCAGGAAGGTCTGCAGCGAGCTCATCGAGGAGAGAGCCAAAGGCGCCGTTTCCGGCGAGAGGTGACATGGTGGAGGGAATCGTGGGGTTAAATGTTGCCATTGTAGCGTCGAACTCGCTCCAGTCGAACTCGTCCAGGTCGGGCAGTGGTGCAGCATTGGTGTTTGGCGGGGCGGCAGGGGTGACGAGGGCTGCAGGAGGAGCAGGGACAGGTGGAGGTAGGGTAAGCTCACGGCTCTCCACGCCCGCATTGAAAGAAGCCATTGTGGTGGCGGAACCATGAGGAGGGGTGTCAGCTGGCGATGAGTCCACCGAATCGACGGCGACGAGCGACCTTGCGTCACATTCTGACTTCGCTGTCGCAGGATAATCAATGATGAAAGTTAGTTTAGTTGTCGGATCTAGCACTCACTGTAAATTGTGTTCAAGAAATTTGCATACGGAGTAAGGACCGTATCCCCAAAGCCTGGAGTTGCTTTCCCGAAGTGCTGGCCCGCCTCGTTCTCCCCAAAATGTACACTAGGAAGACGTCGATAAGGATATAAGGGGAATGGACAGCTGGACTCACCCAATACTATTGATTCGACCTCCATTCTCCGGATCGGGCCCACCTGCCAGTAAGGTAAACGACCAACCCGTTCTGCGGGCAAGCTCCTGACTGAAAGCTTGAAAGTATCGAGGAATTTCGTCTATCGCGCTGAGAATGGGTAAGTAAGTGCCGTCCGTAAGCCAAGAATGAGCTTACGCAGCATATCGTGCGGCTGTTATCCGCTCTGGAGGTGCATCCTTGTCTTCCTCATCCTCGCGGTTCCTTAGGGCCTCATATAGGTCCTCAATCTCCTTCTTGATTTCTGCCGTCTCAAGCGCAAAAATCTGGGGAATCTTCTCTTGCAGCAACGAAAGGAAAGCGGCACCGGTGAGCTTTGTGCCCGCGGGGAGGTTCTCGTAAATTTTCGGGCGAATACGCGTCTTGTAGTATTTTTTCGAGTAGAGTTGCAGGAGTTGAGGCCGACGAGCGTTTTTGATAGGCTGTGGTGGTGGTAGCTGCTTGGGCGTGGCTCGGGTTTTTGCGGCCGTTCGGTTGTGATACCACCTCTTTAGGTACTACGGTCCGTATGTTCAGGGCTGTCGGTAATCAAAAAATAGGTAGAACTTACATCTTGGCGTTTCGCTATTTTTGTACCCAAATTCTTCTTCCTCTCGCCATCGTCCATGATAGCGGGGTCTTCCTCTTCTTGCCATTGCTCGAACCACCCCCGATAAAGGACGGGCCAGAACCTATCCAGTCGGCCGTGTTTCTGGGCTTCCAGAAACTTATCTAGTAACCCAGTCAGGTAAGCCTTTTGTTCTGCATTAGCTTTGCTGGGTGGTGCCATCGAGGAGAATGAGGTAGAGTATGCGACTAAGCTTGAGCCTTGCAGTCGGGTGATGTATCTGATCCATCCCCTTTTTTTCAGCATAAGCTTCGCCGCACCCCCGGCAACTCGCATCCCACTATATATTAGGTCACCACAACGATTCGAACGACTCAGCCCCAGCATTCTATCGCCCTCTTCTACTACTCCAACCATGCAGAACCCCGCAGTTGACCTCAACGTCTTAAGCGAGCTGATTCAGCAACTCGCCTTGGCCCAGGCTGCCAACCAGGCAGCCGTAGCCAATGGAGGTGCTGAGACGGCTCCTACTGCGTCTGCCGCTCCGGCTCTCAACACTGCTCCAGTCCCACCGCCTCTCAATGCGACTCCAGCCCCGGTGGCTGCCAATGCCAACGCCAATCCCACTGCCAACGGTAAGCTCGCCCCTGCCGCTTTGTTACCGTTGAACTCAGCAAAACATTAGCCCCAGCCGGCTACTTCAGGTGCCCTAACTGCGACACCCTTCATCAGCTCGTCGTCGCCGCTGCTAGCCCAGCCGCAGCATCTGCTGGCACGCCCGTCGCCAGTGCATGTAGCTCTTCCTCGCCCTCGTCCACTGCCAATGACGCTGGCTCCTGGTATTCGGTCACCAGAGGCCGCCAAGTCGGAGTGTTCCGCGGATGGTAAGCTACCATCCTCTTCTTTTGACCGTATATTCACACTTTATCAGGGATACAATTGTCGCATCCCTCGTCGAAGGCGTTCCCCGTTGGCGCTGCAAACGGTTCGCCACTGAGCAACAGGCTCAGGCCCATTTCAACCGATGCCTCATGATGAACGACGTCCATATCCACAATGACGAGTAGATAGGCCAGCCGTAGTTCCCCGTCAGCCCCGTAGCGCGTAGTGTTGCAGTTTGTATGGACTTCCGTTCCCGCGAATCTGATTGTTGCCTTTCGTGTTCTTATCATCCCCATGAGATATGAGTGACAAACGAAGTTCAATTGATCATATACACTACAGTGATTGATACAACAGCTCCCCCTTCCTATGCATCTCGAATAGCTCTGAGTCACCGTCCATCGTAGTACATAGAAGATCTTCGAGACACCCTAATGCCTCCTGGATCGCCTTTCCTGTCGTCTCAGCAATGCGGAAATTCTTATCGACACCGGAGAGTCGTAGTAATCCGGCTTCGCAGCGTTGCATCGTGGCTCGCAATGCCTCGACTTCGAGAAGAGGATCGGTGAAGGTGGTGTTACGACGAGAAATAAGAGGATCGGTGAAGGTGGTGTTACGACGAGAAATGCTATACTTTCGGTAGAGTTCTGCCATAAACTTTGGAACGGTAGCACCTTGAAGTAATGCGTCGAATTTGTCCGACGTATCCGCAACCAAGTCTGTCCAATCGGTTACCGTCGCAGGGTTGGTCTTTGGGTGTTTCCGCTCTCGAACTGCGGCTAGAACTCGCTTATTCCTATTAAATTGTTAGTAGACAGCAGGGGGGCACGAATGGGTATATACTTAGTTGTTTCAGCTCGATACCTGATGGCGCGTCGGCAGCTGATCTCCAAAATCTTCCTATCATCCCCTTGAGCTCATGATAATTAGATTACATTGCAGGACACTTACTTGTGATAGTTCCGTTTACTCTTTGCACGATTAGCGAACATCTTCTCCTCCGGAGTATGGTATAACTTTGGGCGCCCAGATCCGACGGGGCGTTTGCGAGGGGAGGAGACTTTAAAC